TTTCTTATATTTAAAATCTTTTTAATTTAAAATATAAAAAATAAAATTTTTTTATTTCCTCTCCACAATACTAAATTTCTAAACTCAACATCTCATTCATCGAAAATTCTCATTTTCATTTGTCTTTGCTAGGTCGCATCGATGTGATCTCAACATTAATGTTTGACATCGTTACAAAATTTACATTTCAAAGCCATCTCAACATCAAAGTCTGACACTGTCTTGACATTGATGCTAGACGCTATCAATTTCTACACCCATAACTTGACATCATATCTTTGTTCGACACTATCATCTTAACATCGACGATCATCTTCTCAACATTGATGGCAGAGGCCCTCTCGACATTGATACCCAATACTTACTGCATAACATGAATGCCCGACTCTCAATAACATTTTTGTCTTCTCTCTTGAAGTTTGATACACGACATTGACATTCGACTCTCGACATCTAATATTAATTATTTTAAGCACATATTATAGCTAAATGAAATATTATTTTTAAATTATTTTTAATATTATATTTATTCAATTTTTATACATTATTTTTAAAATATAAAAATTATAATATTGTGTTCAAACTGTGTCTGTGTCCTATATATTCAATAATTGACATGTCCCGTGTCTGCATCGTGTCGTATCCATGTCACCGTGCCCATGTCTATACATCATAGCTAACCATAAAGCTATCACCAATATTTTGATCATTTGGTTCTCCTCTTTCTTGTGGACTTTAGGGTTGTTTTCACTGTTAATATTGAAAGAGTGGTTTTACCATATAACATAGTATCTACTAAATGTTCATACCTTTTGGATTGAGATTGTGAGAGGATTATAACAAGATCCTGATTCATGATTTCATCTTCAATGCTTTTAAGATCCATGACAACCTTGTTAAAGTAATCCAAATTCTTTTTAATTGATTTAGATTCATCCATTTGCAAGGTGTGGAACCTCTTCTTAAGATATAATTGACTTGCATGGGATCTCTTCAACTACAAACTTTCTCCAAATGTCAATGGCCAACTTCTCTACAATCTCCGTTTGAACTTCATCTCTAAGATTTAAAAGATTTGCACTATCAGCCTTGTTAGCAATATCTGATCAATTCTTTGAATCACCTTTTGACAATGTCATAACCATACACTGATGTACGAGCAACACAAGTTATTTTATCTTGTGAACTTCTTGATCTCCTATCCTGCTGATGACATCTTCAGTTTTGCTTTTTGTTGCGCTGATATCAATTGTAACAATGCGAAGGATGGGAGAAGAATTATTTTCAACATTTCTTGATTGAACCCCTTCTTGAAACTGAGGTCTCTCTTCTCCAATTAGTCTTATTCTTTCCTGATGTTTACATTTTTGAACAACACTTCTTGTTTGATCTTGTTAATGCCTTCATTCCTGTTGCGGATTGGCTTCTACGGTTGAAGCCAAAAGCCAATGTTCTAATTGTTGTATTAGATTTACCTAACCATCTGCAATGTCAAGGAAACAAGAACAATTGGGGAAGACTGACATATCTGCACGATAATGGCTCCAAATTAGTTCATGGTTTGTGTCAAGAGAACAAGAGGGAGAGGGAAAGAAAGAGAGAAATTCTTATTAGAATTTATCATAAAAATTGTTATTTGTAATATGACATTCTTTCCATAAATGCAGAATCCATACCCATGGCCACAAGCTAAACAATATGAAAACAAGAATTGGATTAACTAAGCTACGATTGACCTAACTGAAAGTTGTGGGTTATTACAAAAGCAATCTACAAGCAAACATTACTAATAAGAAATATAAAACCATACTAATATAATTGTAGGGAGGGCCAAGCACGATTGTTCTCTAATGGTTAAGCCTATGTCTTCTAACTCATCTAATAGGGCATAAAACCCTTTATTAGCAAAGGTTGGTTTTGAAATCAACTATTAGACAAATATTTACTCAGGATCTATAAGGATTTATTGGATGATGCAAGTTATGTCTATTGATAATTATTCTCAAGTCAAGTTATGTCTATTATATCTTCTGACCAAGTAAACTGTAAATTAGTATGTATGACAAATTGGATTGACAAAACTACGGGATATTTATTAGGTGCATCATTCCTCCCACCATGCCCTTTAAATACTATTGTCAATTGTTTTCTTTGTTAACCATTGTTGTAAGTCAGACTAGAAGGGAAACCATTATTGCAAAACATTTTATAGCCTACACATTAGCGTTAGTCGAAAGTCTTCTCTCATGAGTGAGCGGGGTAATTAGCTATAAGAGCTTTTACTCAAGGGAAGCCTTGAATCTAGAATATAATGTTCTTTATGAGGTTAAAATTTTCAAACAATGTTTTATCAACTCTCTCATTTATCTATAGAAAAATTAACTTGGAGTACAAACTCTTTATTGATTACAGCCTGGTTGAAATTTTTAATCCCTACTAAGGCTGCTAGAGAATGAGGACTCGTTTGGTTCGTTTGGTTGGCCAATGATCTTGTAGAAGTTTGTTTTAAAGTCATTGTAGAGAAAATGTAGTTCTACCAAAAAAAAAATTATATAATGGAGTTATTAGATAATGTTGTTTGGTTAAATTATTTTTTGTGTGTTTATTCAAACTTTAAAATAAATAATAAGTGTTTGGGATGATTAAAAGTTTTAGCGTTTTCATTATAAATGACAAAATTGCCCGTATATTGAAACTCAAATGTACTTAATTTGTTTTACTATTTAAATAAATGAAAATATACAAAGAATTTTTAAAAAATATTAATTTATTATCATAAATTTTGACATTTAACAGTAAATATGAGTACATTTAAAATGAATAAATAGTTGATTAATATAATTTGGAAATGTTGTCATTCCCCATTTGAACATCAAGGTTCAATGAGATGTCGTCGTCTGCAAGAATGTCACCCTTGTTGAGTGTAGCCTGGCTTCTACCAAACGGATTGACCATAGCTCTTTCCAAACACCATAGGACGGACCTGGGGTGGTTGCGGGATGCTAGTTTTGCTAAAAATCTGCATCAGTTGCCGATGGAGCATATGCTGGAGCACCTGGTGTGAATTTTATAGAAAATGTCATTAATGGTTGTTCTTCTAGGAGTTACGCACCTGCTAGAAGCTTCATACAGCTCATTCACAATCTTTTTCACATTCATTCTGTTGTCAACTGAAAAAATGAAATATGGATTGACGTCCATACACAAGATGTTTCTGAATACAACACTAACCTGCTCGAACGGGGCTTCCTGCTCACAATTGTCCAATTGGACATTGTTTGTTTCCATGCCATCGTGTAAACCATTTAATTCTTATTCTTCCATTTGCTTTGTTTCTTTTGATTCGTGTGAATCGTCAGAGGCAGCCGTAGTTGCTTCGTGGGGTGGAAAATCGGATGCCTCTTGTTCATCACAATCAGAAGGAATGCCCAAATCCTCTTCAAATCGGCTATATGAATCCACATCCTCTTCATTTTCATCAAATTGCTGCTGCAAATTGAGATCGACATCATTCAGGGGGGCTTCGATCGGAGCCTGGGACGAACAATCAAAGGCATCCCAGCGAAGAAGATGAGTGACTACGGGGATAAAGTAGACTTATCGCAAGTGTAAAACGGGGAAAGTGTGGAAAGGAGTTGCAAAAGTGCGTGACATTTCGGCTCAAAACGATGTTATTAATGTCTTACGTCTTTGAGAGAAGCATTTTCGCCGAAGGATTAAAATTCATTTATTTTCCCATTGTAAAATGGAAAGCTTCTTAGAAACGCTGAACCAAACGAAACCGAGTCCATGGAGGGGGCATCGGAGAAAGCATAATAATTGTATTTGTATTTTAGTACTCGTTTTTTAATTATTGAAGGCTCTCCTACAAATATATCTATATTAATAGCATTGATTCCAAATAAAGTCAGAATAAACAAAAAACCAATCATCTTGCTCACCTAGAAGATTTAGGAAGCTTCCATAAACTTCTCAAATCCCCTCTTGTGGAAATCCACCATTCAATCTATCAGAAAAGGCGAAATCTCATCTCTTCTCTTATAAGTATCCAATCTAAAATTTTAATCAAATGAAACGCTGGGGATGCTGATGGCCCGCCCACTTGCTAAGATCCAAAACTTGTCCCCGCAATTGGAAGCACTGCTCTCTCCATTCCTGCAGTTCTGCACTCCTCGGCTTTCTTTTGTTAAATCTCCAAAGCTGCTCACATTTTGATGCTCAAATTGCAGCGGTGGGTTTCTCTTGATCTTTTGAATTATGACCTCTACTCTAATGATGTATTTATGATGATTTAGGCTTCATTTGAGGTGGCTTTCTAAATACTTTTTAAAGCAGCTTCATCGGCTTTCTTTTGTTAAATCTCCAAAGCCGCTCACATTTTGATGCTCAAATTGCAGCTGTGGGTTTCTCTTGATCTTTTGAATTATGACCTCTACGCTAATGATGTATTTATGATAATTAAAGCTTCGTTTGGGACGGCTTTCATACTGCTTGAAGTAGTTTTCTAGTAAAAAAAATAGATTTTGTACTTAAAAAATTGTTTCAAGAAGCAGTAAAAAAGCCGTCCCATTTTCTGAATGCTTTTGAAAGTAGTTTTTTAGTTTAAAATTTTCTAGTTCAAAAAATTTTGTTCTTAAAACTTGTTTTTAGAAAGCAATAAAAAACCCGTCCCAAATGAAACTTTAGTCACCAACCTTCAAATTGCGTTGTGAAGAATTCCTGGCATTGGATTATACAGAACACTTTCACAAGCAGGCAAGCCCACTGGCTATTTTTCTGATTGTATGAACACCTATTTTCTTATATCTGTGAGGATCACCTTGCTGCTGGAGTGCAGCCAAGCCTATTGGCCATAGAAAGCCCAAGTTTGGCCTAAGTACTTTACCGAGTACTCTGCAAAACAGCATGTCTTAAAGGAAATTAGACGCATTTTAGACTCGCTTTGATGTTGGCTCCATCACCTGTACCTGATATAGCTGACACTTGCCCTCATTTTGCAGATGATTGACGATCAGGACTTGGGGTTCTTCGCAAATTTCCTCGGGATCTTTATATTTGTACTAGTCATTGCTTATCATTACGTGATGGCTGATCCAAAATATGAGGGAAGTTGATTCAAAGGCCTAATGGTGGAAGAAATCTAGAGGCTTCTATGATATTTGATGTTCTAGCTAATTATCAAATTTTAATGCTTTGTATTTGTACTGCGCCTGAAATGGCATGTCTGAACCTCGCGTCACCAAAGAAGTAAAATTTTCGTGCTCCACTGTTGTTGTTGCTTGAGCAGAACAAAATTGAATAAGGCATTATTGTTTCTTACATGCAATGGACTTAACTTTTCTTGTTCTCTTTGCAAGATGATGGTCTTTGTTTATTTATTTATTTTTGCAAAATGCTTGATTGCTTCGTCGATGTTCTTGGCAGTTTTGTTTTTTGTAATTTGCTTTTGTAGTTTCTTCTTCTTTGCTATATTGTTCTTTCAGATCATTCGTCCTTCTTCTACATTTCTTCCATGAATGAGCATTAGGAGCATTTTCTTCAAATCGGCATTTTCTTGGTTTTTTGTTGAGTGAAACTAAGAAACCCTTAAAATTTTCCAGATTTTTTTTGTTCAGAATCAGATTTGAGGTCTTAAATATTTTGTTTTTTTTTTTTATTTTTGTAGTCATTAAATTTTTAGTTTTGTAGCTCTTTTTTGTTATCATGTATTATAATGTAGATATTTATTTTGATGAAATGAAAGAAATCTGATGGATGAGTTATTTTTAATATTTGGATGTTTTAGTAGTTTTGTAGTCTATGGTTATTTCAATAAATATTGTTAGAAAATTTGAAATAATCCCAAAATTAGATCTTTTAATTTGTCTGTTGCAGTTCAACATGATAAGACATGGTAAGTGTGATGCTCGTGATGCTCACTTCTACAGATAGTTGTATTCTAAGAAAAATTGTTAGTTGCGGAGTGTGTATCGTCCGCACATGGGTATCCAGCAGTACCCAGCGGTACCAAGTGGTACATTGCTAGGTACTTAATGCTTGTGCGGATGGTTCTTCCCGTTTGCATTCCACATCTAATAATATGTCGCGTATTCTAAAGGCGTAAAAAAGTTCAAAAAAAAATTTAGCCTGCAAAGCTCTCATAGTGTAGCAGTCATTGTAGCAATCATGAGAGTATTATTCATGATGTATTTTATAACCTATGACTGATAAGATTGTTGCCTATTTAATTATTGTTATAGGAACAACGCTGAGGTTTTTTTTTTAAGTAAAAAATTTAGTAATATTAGAAATATTTTTTTATTAGATTAAATGAGAATTTAAATTGTAATATAATGTAATAGAGTACAGGGCTCAAAGGAGACGGGATAACACAAGCAGGTAACTTACTAATAGGAGAAACAAAAGAACCATACATCTCACCCATCACAGGGGTATCTCTGCCGTGGGCAAATTACACTTGGCAGTTACAGAATTCGCACAAGACAGCACAGGGATAGCATTAACCTCACAATTCACAGTATCACCCGCACTAACACAAAGCCTAGGACCAAGTGCAACAGGCACAACCCCAACCATAGAATCCACCAGAGCTATTTTAATAATAGGGCTAGCAGGTGTAACAAAAATAGTATAGCAGTTACATGGACATTAGGAGAAAGTTCAGGATTAGATTCTGGCACAGGCTCACTCGCAGCCAAACACGAAATACATTCAATCACATGGTCATCACCCATAAATGACAAATCCAAAGGTTTAGGGGTAACCACATCCCCCAAAGCAACATCATCAACATTATCCGCATCAACAACACCATTCTTAATAGGAAAAGAAGGGTTCGAAGAGAAAACCATATTGAGAACAGAAGAAGAAGAACGACACTCACCCCGCTTATGCCCAATGGCCTTACACAGCTCACAGTCAGGGGGAAACACCTCCATTTGAACATGTTGAACATAACCCAAATGCTCAGACCCCAACCAAACTTTATCAGGGTAGAGTTTCATAATGTCTAATTCCACCAAAACACGTGCCAAAGAAGGCCGTGAGCTAACATATGTGGCATAATCAATTTTAAGGGGGCAACCAAATAAAGAACCCAACGTATGAAGGATTTTAGGTGAGGCCGAATGTTAGGGAAAGAGACCCAGATGGGTATAATCGGAGAATCCACGTACACCGATATAAAGAGCAGGCAACCATTTAATAATTTTCATGTAGAAATTGAACACCAGGTATGAACGATGGAAGAAAACCCTACTATAATCCATATCGTTAGACAATTTAATCAACACATGAGTCGCATCCAGTAAGGTTACCAAAAATTCAGCCGAAAGTTTCAGGTTAAAGAAAAAACGACCGATAAAATCCAAAATAGGGCGGCGAGAGAGAAAAAAGAACCCGCCAGAGCAAACTAAAAAGGGGCGACTAAAGAAGTGATCTCCTCATCAGAGATCCAAACAGCAGGTAAACCACAGAAAGAGCTCGTTTTGAGAGGAGAAAAACGAACATCTGATGCATACCAGATAAAACATCCAAAAAAGAACTAAACTTCTTTGATCCATCTAAAAAACCAGGATCCAAGAGCCAATTAGAGGCCATGCCGGCCACTTGGTAAAAAGAGAAAATGCGGCCAACAAAAACAGACCAAGGTAGAAGAAACTTCACTGCGAACAATGAAACACCCATAGCATGAAGACCACCCGAAGAAAATGGGCGAAACGGGGCGGGAAACCCCCAGGCTGGAGAAACGTAGCGGAGGAGAACTCAAAAACCTTAAGCAGCGGAGGAGAACTTTAAGCGTAGCTTAAGTCATTAGCTTTGTTAACGACCGGTTTAGTTCTATTTAATTTAAAGTATATTTATATGTATTTATAAAATTTAAATTTATATATATTTATAAAAAATGAAAATAAAAAAGGAAAAAAACCAAGTCGTTATCATTTAAAACATAAAAGTTAACCATTATAATTTTGGTTTAATTAAATAAAAAAGAGAAAAAAAGATAATGAGTTGATTTTTCTTTTATATAAATGTTATTTTTGTTTTAAAATTATTTTTTATAAAATAATACTATTAAAATTTAAAAAACTGTTAAATAAATTTTAATTTAACTATTTGTTTTTCTCTTTTTAAGTTTTATTTATTTTTCGAATTCCCATTTAGCGTACGTTCACCGAACCAAATAATTGTTCCCAAATCAGCCTGCGCCAGTTCAACAGCCAGTCGCCGGCATCACTTTTAATTGATACCTATGAATTACCTACATGGATATATTTGGATAAACAATTTCAATTATATATATAATATTAAAATCATAATTTATTATCTGGCACATGAGAATATTAATTCAAGAAAACAAATTCATACGAGATATTACACTTTGAATTATAAAACTGAAAAGAAAAAATCTTATCGATGAGGAATATCAAAATTTCTATCATATCTATTGGAAAATTTAAAAAAGGCAACTTTGTCCAGTTGTAAACAAGCTTCGCGTTACCAAATCAAAATATTTCCAGATTTCCTTTCTAAATAAATTCCGCTTTAAATCAAACACTCGCAATTTCCTTTAATTAAGGCCATCGTTCCACCGCCTCGCCGCAGGAGAAGCTTTTTTTTCTGCAAGAGGAGGCTGTGCTTTGGGCAACGGCACTCAGTCAAGATGAGTACTTGCTGCAATGGCGCCAACATCGCTGCGGGGAAGCGGAAGCGTGGCCGCCCGCCGGGGATGAAGAATAAGCCTGTGTTTCCGGTGGCTACGTGCACGCCGGACGCCGCCTCTCTCCATCCACACGTACTCGAGATCCCCGCCGGCGGCGACGTCGCAGAAACCATCGCCGCCTTTGCTCGCGGCTGTCGCATTTTCGGAGTATGCGTCCTTTCAGCCTCCGGCCGTATTGCGGCCGCCGTTTTGTGGGAGGCGACTCCGTACCCGTCAACCATTACATTCCAAGGAAGCTTTGATCTCCTTTCCATGACGGCTACATTTCTTCCGGGTAGAAGCGAAGGGAGTTTAGCGGTGACTTTAGCCGCGCCACAGGGGCAGGTTTTGGGTGGAGTGGTGGCGGGGCCGGTGGTGGCTGCAGGAAACGTAGTTGTGGTGGCGGCCACCTTCGCCTCGCCATCGTTCCGCAGCTTTGATGCAATAAATAAAACCTCGGCCTCGATCTTGCCCGTATTCGCAGGCGAAGAATGGCGGGGGAAAAGCTCGCCGGCGGATACGTGTGACACGGAGAAATCAGATGGGGATATGCTGGAGAAATATGTAGAGGAACTAGAACAGTGCCTTGTCATGTCGCCGGCGGTCGACGGTTTTCTGATTGGTGACGGCGGGTCAGAGGAGAATACTGGGCTGGACACCGCAGGGTTGGCGGTGTATGGAAATACGTCTGAGAATTACCTAAAAGAGCTAGAGAGCTGTCTCGAGTTGCCGGCGGAGGTTGGCGGTGCTTCCAGTGGCTTTGGCGGCGGAGCAGAGGAGAAGATAACTGGGCTCGAAGGATACGGAGGAGGGACGTGGGAAGGAAATTGTTTTGAGGAGCATTATCCTAACTTGCAGATGGTGGTCGGCGGTGCATTTGAAGGCAGCCACGACTGTTGCGGCGAGCTTTTTTCCATGGATGCGTTTAGTGTTTCCGGCGCCTGTCTTCCTCCTCTATACTGATCGGCACCTGAAATTCAAACTCTCTCTGATTGATCATTGATGATGCGTCCAGAAATACCGTTCGTTAAAATAGTAGATTTCTCTCTGATCTTCTAAAAGTAATTACAATAACTGTATTGCTGTTGATTATGAACTGTTTGTTTTGATTTCAGTAAAGGAACACTTCTGCAACATAATGAACTCAGAAAATGTTGTTAGATAAAGGAGAAATTATTCTGTGCGGATTGGGACGTAATTTATTTTTTGGGATTAATTAGAATGTGTCATGTAAGCAGTATCGAATGTACTGAGCTACGATGCAGAGCGGGGGTGACGTGGCGCATTATGATTAATCTCTGGATGGCCCGCGTTCGCGCATAATAATTTACAATGATTGGTGAAAAATGTCTTGAAAATATTGATGTTTTTTTATTTTCATCAATGGATGCTGATTTGATTACTATTGTCGTAATAATGGAATCCGTATATTCCATTATTACGATAATAGTAATCAAATGAGCATCCATTAATGAAATCACAAAAATTCTAAATGTTCTTTAAGCTTTGATCTAGCATTGTGAATAGTATTGCTGCCATGCAATTAGAGTAAATAAAAAAATAAAAGTTTTCAACGTTTAACAAAATTAATTTATCCTATTAGATTAAAGGAATATTTATTTAATAAAAAATACTTCTACAACTTATACATATCTAGTAATGATTATTAAAACTGAAATTTTAAATATCAGACTACTTTTTATAACTTTCATTTAAGCAATGTTTAAGAGTCTGAGTGGTCGCCTTCATTAATATAAGATATCTTTTGAATGTTTTACGGCTTTAATTTTATCAAAAATTAAGTAATCTTAAGATCATTGGATTCATCTCTTAGAGATAATTTAATTATAAATATATAAAATTTAAAATCATTTGATCTTCCATTAAATATTTCAAAAATTAAAATTATATTTCAAGTGAATGATTTGAGCCTATTCTGACTGAAATCGAATTACTTTAATTATCGTTTTATATACATCTTGATAAAAATTTGGGTTCAACTACAAGTTTTTTAAATTTTAAATGATTTTAAATTTAATTTAATTTTAACATATATAATGTTTTTTTTATGATTTACTAAATATTTAAATTCTTAAAATATTTAATATTAACTAAAAAAATCATTATTATATGAATTATAAATATTGTACGCAGGTTCAACTACAAGTTTGTTAAATATTTAATATTAACTAAAAAAATCATTAATATATGAATTATAAATATTGTACGCAGGTTCAACTACAAGTTTGTTAAATATTTAATATTAACTAAAAAAATCATTAAGGGGGTGCTCGTCATCCTAAATTTCAAAATATTGTATATTATATTAAGAGTTTTATAGGTTAAAATATAATGTTAACTTATAGATTATATTAAATAAAAAGTTTTAGTCATTTGAAGAGTAAAAAATTACACTTATAAAATTAATTTTAATATTTGAAAATAAAAATTTTGTCAAAATTAATCCAATAAGTTTATATGAAAGCTAAAAAAAAAATATTATTCGAAGTAATAAAAGAGGCATAGTTAGCTTCCTAAATAGCATTTTTATGGAATTTAGCATTCTTGTTTGATAAATAATATAGTCAAACCTTTTAAAACACTTACAGAGGCAAACAGAACATGATTTTATCAAACAATTACCTAATTTACTTAATAGCACAGCATAAAACAACATTGCTAAGGTAGCTTAAGAAAATAATTGTTCTTAAGCTAAATAGAAAGACTTAAATTTTGTTTGGGACGACTTTTCTACTGCTTTGTAAAGCTATTTTTAGTTAAAAAAAAATCTCTTCAAAGCAGGAAAACAACAGTGGTCTAAAGTGTGACAGTTTTTTACGACTATCTTTTTACTGAATTAAAAAAAAATATACTATAAAATTATTATAGAAAACCGTAAGAAAATTGTCCTAAACAAAATCTTAAACTGGCGCACTAAAAAACTTTAATTATTCAAAAACACATAAAAATTGAAGTAGGAGAAAATGTTAAATATGGCAAAAGCTGTCACAGTTGAATCAATAGGCAAGTTACCAAAGTTGCCATTTCAGAACTCTAATAAAACAACTCCTTAGAAAGACAAATTGTAAGTAGTCATTTGTTGCTGAGAAGGATATTGACTAATATGAAGTGGTATTTCTAATTATGACTTAGCAACAAATGATTACTATTATTTATCAGATTTAAAAATGAAGCCTTGTTTTAAACATAGAAATAACATACAGGATGGGAATAAATACCTAAATACAGTTTTTTTTTTGGCATCACCAATTTCATAGTCTTGACTCCTAGACAATTCTACCATTAATTTTGCTATCTGATTGTCCACATCCATCAGCTCCAATATTGTTGCACCATCATTTGCTGTGGAGAAAAGAATATGTATCAGAAAAAACTATGTAGTCCACTAACTACAAAACTCATAAGCTACTTCTTCAATTATACTTTATGCACTTCGAACTACATGTATTTTAAAATTTTCAAAATAATGACAACAAACATACAAGAAAAAGCCAATATCCACAAAAGCATTTTAAAAAAAGCAAATAATCAACCAAAGATTATAGAAACAAAACATGCTTTACTTTAGTTTGCACTATATATATATATATATATAAATATCAATGCAACAAAAGGTTCAAGATAATAAAAAGATAAGTAATGGAGATTGAAACCGAGAAACATAAATGGTAAGTTGTGCCTTTAGATGATATGATGCTCAGATTTACTATTTGTATGGAATTATTTTAATCCCAACTATTTAATCGGTCAATTTAGTCCTTAAACCCTCAACTCTAATCCAAAATAATCCATCATTGGATTATATTGGATTAGATTTGAGAAGACAATAGACTTTTCGATCATAGTAGAGAAGTCAAGGTGCTAAATATGACACATTAAATAATTAGATACTAAAATAAGCCCATATAAATAATTCATGAATTATTTTGACCTTTTACGCTATAATAGAGTCCCACTAAGGGGCTGTTTGGTAGCAGGATTTAGGCTGGATTTGAGGCGGATTTGAGCGAAATCCAGCCAAACGGCCTAAAATGCAAAACCAAATCTCACGGCAAACGAAATCCTCCGTAGACGGAAAATTCCGCCGATTCGCTCTAAATCCAGGATTTCCGAAATCCTGTATTTTGCTGGATTTACGAAATTCATGATGCTAGAGGAAGAATCTGTTCAGTAAATTCTGCTCTATAGCCAAACAGTAACAAGAGATTTAAAAGGATTTATCATGAATGTTAACAAACAGTTTTCAGGATTTAAGCCTCTCAGGATTTCCGAAATCCGGATTTAGAGGATTTCCGAAATCCTACTTAAATCAAATCCAAGATGCTACCAAACAGCCCCTAAAAGTAAGGCATATTGAATCAAATATCAGCCTCATGATGCGTTCACTTCTTCAATGATAGAAAGACACATTGGAAGCCAAAAAGCCTCGAAACTTATTCATGGAAAATAATGGAGAGATGAGATGTCCGTCAAAGAATTGATTAATCCTCATTATTGGTGATAAATGCTGACAGATAAACAATATATGTTGTTGAATTTTAGTGCATTTATCTCTGTTCAACATGTTAAAGTTTCAATGCAATGAGAGCATGACATGGACTTGTTTTTGAGAGGTCTGTTAACCTCTTCAGAAGAAAATGATGGATTCCTAAGAGGAAGCACTGTGACGAACCATGAAAGAGATGTCAAGAGAAATGAGGCGCTCCTGAGAGACCTCTTGCAATTGATGAAAATTAAAAAAATTTGCGTATAACAATTCTGTCGTGTATTTGTCCCACATGTACGATGAAAATGACAGTCTTTGTGTATGCGTTGTGTGTATGAGTTTGCCTTAAATGGCCTAAATGTCCCAAAAAAAAAAAAAAAAAAAAAAAAAAAAAAGTTGAACATTTCAAGGATTGCATGGATTACAATATATACCATTGAAATCATAAGAGTAGACTTTTGAGCCCCTCAACTAAAATTGCATCAACACAGCCTTTCATAAGATTAGCAAAACAAAACTTTTATCTACCTAATCCTTTAGTTTTAGCTTTAGTTTTTCTTTTTATATTGGAAAAGTTGAGAACATAGCACTAATTAGGGGCATAAATAAATCAACTAGAGTTATATTTGTAGTTAACTCGAGCTCGGTTAGTCTATCTCATGATAGTCTCAAACTAAAGCTTGAGCTCAATTCGAGCTCAAATACTGAACTTGAACTCAAACAGCTGTAACAAATAAAAGCACAAGCTCAACCCATGAACCTGAGTTTCGTCCCACAGATCTCAAAACCCTCGATGAATAAAAAAAGTGAGGAATTTCAACATGACTTGCTGAAGAAGGCATCGAAAGCGAGGAAATTGCAATGAAAACTCACTGTTGAAGGAATTGATGGCTAGGAACTTTTGACTGTTCCTTGCGACAATAGCTTGTTGATGAAGACATCACCAATGAGGAAGTTGTGACGAGAGCATGCTAAAGAAGACACTGATAGAACTAACGATGTTTGTAGAAGAAGAGAAGTTTGTGAGACTTCCGAATTTTGAAAAAGAAGAGGAATTTATGAGACCCGCTGAACAAGACATCGAGGATTGAAACTAAAAGAGAGAAGAAACAGGATCTAGGATTATGTAGAATTTAATCAAGCAACTCAAAAGGCTAACGAATTGGGCCTCGTTAAGCTAGAACTCAAACTCATTTAACATATGAGAAACAATCTGAGATCGAGCTCGAGCTTGCAGCTTTAGGAAGCTGATTAATAAAATCTTATTGAGCAGTCTTAATAAATAGAAAAAGGAGAATGAGCCTGATTATCCAAGCATCATCATCATAGTAGGAATAACAGAAGCAAAGATAAATAACTAACTACCCACAATCTATACTTCACAGGGTTCCAACTCATTAATGGAGTCGCTCCCTTTCAAAGTTTAAACTGAGTTGAACTAAGCATGCTGCGTAAACAATTTAATAAAGAACTGTTACATACCTGCATCAATCATCTAAAAGTTCACCCAAGCTAAGGAGCAGATTCTGTAGCCCAACCGAGAGAATGAAGAATGAACAACACCTGACATTAAAAAGCACTTCACAAACTGAAAATGGGATTGCTAAATCCATTTTCAGAACTCAGCAGGAAATTCCCATCATCCTGAATTATACATTTGGTCAGCATTTTCACTAAAACAAATTCCAATTAAACAAACATACAGTAAAACACTGTCCATTGCCTACCGCCATCTTAGTGACATAAACTAAGGAAGCTGGATCTGTATATCTTGCCTTCACAGGAAGGGCAGATTATGTAGATTACCAAGAACATCCTCTGTAGCATCCAGATCAATATCAAAGTGAGAAATACCAACCCCCGTCCCAGTATATGCATCTCCTGAGCCTCTTGTACCCCGGGCCTCGGTTCCGTCATTTCTGGCTTCACTTACTCCAGCAAAAGATTTCTTTTTGGAGTAGCTCCCAACTTTTCTTTTGGCAACTGCCTTTCGATTTCTCGCGGGCGTGCTTTTCACCACATTCGCCTTCTTCCCAGTATTCGAAATATCAATCTGGTTGGCAGCAGCAAAGTTTACAGGCACGGCATTCAAAGGCTTCTCCGCCTGAGCTCCCCGTTGGTTTCCCCATACCGGTGTAATCGGAATGAAGGGCTTCCACCCGTCGCCGAACTCCGGCAAGACTAAAGCGCCAGAATTCGGAAAACCGCCAAAAGTCGGACCACCCCGATACCCTAGGGGGAAAAATCCCCACGCGCAGTAATACATATCAGTGCCTGGAACTAACGGCGGCTTCGCGGCCATCTCACCGGCATGGAAGGGTTGCTGGCAGGTCCGGCATCGGAGAGAACGGTTAAGATACGAATAATCGTACTCAAACACGTGACAACAAGAGGGGCAGGATGTCCAAAAGGTCCGAGAAGGCCGTGCCGCCGTATCTTCGGCTGAGCCGTTGGATCGAAGATGGGAAGCTGCTATCTGGATCTCGGAGTCCAATAGGGATTTCTTCGCGGGGTCGGAGAGCACAGCATAGGCTTCGACGACGAAACGTAAAGCAGGGCCAGCTAGCGGGGATCTGTTGCGATCCGGGCTCAGGAGGAGGGCGAGGCGGCGGTAACTGCGTTTGATGGCGAGGGAATCTTCGTTTCCGCCGCCGCCACCGCCTCCGATGGCAGAGCCCGACGACGAAGGGTGGGGGAGCTGCAGGATAGCGTAACAGTCCATCTGGTTATTTATACGGCGTTGGGAGGCGAGAAGCACGTCGACAACGGCGAGGGTCAGGTCAACGCCATCAAGAAGGGGATCGGATTCAAGGGCGCGCTCAGCAAAGCGCTTGCTGCCGACAAGGTCCCGGGCGTCGAGCAGCTTCTCGGCGATCTCAAGCAGACGCCGCGCCTCTAGCCCGCCTCCGCCGCCGGGATCCATGATTGCTATGAACTGCGGTCGTTGAACGATAAGAAGAAAAAATGGGGCTGTTCGGCTATAAGCAGCAGCTAGTAAACACTTGAATCAGGAATTAATTAAAACCAGAATAGTAAATAGAAGAATTTTTTCCTGGCAATTTTATAAAAAAGAGGATGATTTAAGTGTAAATTTGCTTAAAAGCAAATTAAAAAAATATTTAAAAAGTAGTAAATACGAGAACTTAATTATCAGATTTCTTAAAATCGAAATTTTATTAACAGATTTCTATTTTAACCAGAAATCAGTTTTTAACAATAAAATTTTTTAGCACGTTTAATTTATTTGGTAAACCATAAATGATTAGTAAATTTAGAAAAACTTAATGTTATTTATTTATTAAATTTTTTATTAAAAAATAAATTAAATAGAGTTTTATTTATTATCACATTTTTCATCTAAGTTATAGTTA